TATGTGGGGTCGCTATGAGTCGATACTGACTCAGAGACACTTAGCAACAACAACAGATATATCTATCAGGGACTCCTGGTGCGGTGCTATAGGATTAGCATTGGACTGCGAACCACAAGTCCAACAGCTCAAACCCACCAGCCACTCTTCGAAAACCCTATGTATGCAGGGTCCCTATGAGTTGGAACTGACTCAAAGGCACTTAACAATAACAAATATACCTATATGTATACATATATGTTGTTGTTGTTAAGTGCCATTGAGTCGGTTCTGACCCATAGCAACCCTGTATAGAGTTTCTGAGGAACAGCTGGTGAGCTTGAACCTCTGGCCTTGAAGTTCAAATGGCTTTGCAGTCTGGTGCATTAACCCACAGCACCACACCAGGACTCCACACCAGCACTATATATGTTGTTGTTTATTAGGTATCATGGAGTCGATTCCGACTCATAGCGACCCTGCACAGGGTTTCCGAGGCTGTAAATCTTTACGGTAGCAGAACGCTTCATCTTTCTCCCGTGGAACTGCTGGTAGTTTTGAACTGCTGACCTTGAGGTTGGCAGCCTGACTCATAACCTATATGGAGTCCTTGTGTGGCGCTGTGGGATGAGAAGTGGACTGGTTGATTTGAACCGCAGGTTGGTGGTTCAAACTCACCAGCTGCTCCTCAGAAATCCTACACGGAGTCGCTATGAGTAGGAACTGACTTGATAGCACTTACCAACAACATATATCTATCTGGAGTACTGGTGTGGGTGCTGTAGGATAAGTATTAGACTGCTAACCACAAGGCTGGTGGTTCAAACCTAGCAGCCCCACTCCATGGAAGCCATATATAGGGATGCTATGAGTTGAAACTAACTTGTCAGTGCTTAACAACAACGATATATACCTACCTAAGAAGCTCTGATAGCATGTAGTGGGTTACACAGTGGACTCCTAACCACAAGGTCAACAGTTCAAATTCCCCAGTTGCTCTGTAAGAAAATGATGAGACTTTCTGCTCCTGTAAAGATATGAAGCCTTGAAAACTCTATACAGGGTTACTATCAGTTGGAACCAACTCTACAGCCTGCAGTAGCAACACCATACATACACTTTGGTTTGGCTGAAAATTGAGTCACACGGTATGAAGATGACCAAGGGCCATAGTGTTGGGATTCTGTCAGTCTCCAACGAGTAAGATTGGGTTAGTTTTTTATTATTTTGAATTCTGTTCCACATTTTGTACTACTCTATCTAGATCCTTCTAATGTGATTAATGGGAACTTAAAAAAAGAAAAAAAAAGTAGCAGTGGCTTTCCAGAGAATAATTAGCACTGAGGTCCCTTTTTCTTCCTCTGTCTTTATCTGAGATTTCACTGTAGATATTCTTTAACTGCAGGATGTGATGCAGCAGGCCACCAATGCAATTCTCAGAGGTGGTACCATCCTGGCTCCCACTGTGTCTGCAAAAACCATAGCAGAGCAGCTTGCTGAAAAGATCAATGCCAAGCTGAATTATGTACCTTTAGAGAAACAAGAAGAAGAGAGACAGGATGGTGGACAGAATGAATCTTTTAAGAGATATGAGGAAGAATTAGAAATCAATGACTTTCCACAGGCAAGTAATAAGTGTAATTTTTTTTCCTTTGGATTTAGACAGTCTTGCTTCTTTTAATAGCAAAAATCTCTTAAAATCCATAAATGCTTTAATAGCTGCTATATTTTCTGAGTATGTACATTACTTTAGAACGTACATGCAATATGTCATGCATATGCATAACATTAGAATCTAAGTAAACTTATATAGGTATGTGTTCATTTTAACCTTGATATCAGCCATAATACAATTTAACCAAGCTATTCTTTGTCATCAGGTGGGCTTTTTACTCTGTTATGAAGTGATTTTTCTCCACCTTTTGTTTCATAGACTGCTAGGTGGAAAGTTACCTCTAAGGAAGCACTGCAGAGGATCAGTGAATATTCTGAAGCTGCAATTACAATCAGAGGGACATACTTCCCTCCTGGCAAAGAGCCCAAGGAAGGAGAGCGGAAAATTTACTTGGCAATTGAAAGTAAGTTCTGCTGATTTCTGTTTCAGTCTTGAGTTGGATCAAGGTTGATGTAGATGTAGTAGAAGCAAAGAGAATATGAGATCTTTTTCTAGAAGGGACTGAAAAAAAAAAAACAAAAACCGTTTGAGGTCTTTATTTAGAAGTTTAACGTATAAACATAGGTGAGTGATCTGAGGGCTTTTTCAGCATTTGTTAATTGAGCCAAATTTGAAAATCACTCCAAAAGATAATCTGCTTTATGAAGACTGGCCCATTAGTGCTTCTACCTGGTAGATTCTGGCTAGAGTTTATGTTACAAAGTAAATCAACTGTTATTCCCTTATAATAGGTGTTGATAAAACTAAGCAAATATGACCCATACAATTTCTTGCATATGTGTGTGTTTGTATTATGGCGTCCTGGTGTATATGTATATACACCAAGACTGTACATAGAACAAGAGGCAGTTGTTCAAACAAAATACGGAACACTGGATGGTTTAAAAATCGGAAAGGTGTGCGCCAGGATT